TGTTGCAGCCCAACCAGGAAAGGCTCCCGAGCGTGATGCTACGCTGCACGTGGTCAATTCCAGCAGAAGTCAAACTCTAGTACAACAGTTGATGCCAAATTAGATCAAAGAAGGGCCAAACCCCAATTATCCTTTGTCTGTCTGCACAAGAATGAGAGTTTCAGGAGGAAATCCAGGAGGAATTTACCAATTTTGAGTTACCTAAAGTGAAGGCATGAAACTGTGTTAGCCCTCAAGGAAATAGTGACTGGATTTCCCTGCAATTACTGGCTGGCTGCATTTGGAGCCAGGTAGCCATCACCAATTGCACAAGTAGTTGTTGCTTATGGATGATGACAGTGCTGTGGGTATCCCACGGTTAGGAGAGCATTTAAGGCAGGACACCAGGCCAGAACGTGTTTAAAATAAAGAGTCTGCCGAGTCCTCCCTCAAGGTCATTAAAAAAAAAACCAAACCAAAACATGAAGAAGTTGGTACATTTCAGACTTGCACTCGAGTCTTGTACAACAGGAACCGATAAGAGGGTATCCATAACCTTTAAAATAGCAAAAGTTACTATAACCTTTTAAATAATTAGCTTTTCCAAGTTTCTGTCTACAGCAATAGCTGCTGCTATTGTTCGCGTACTTATAGCTACAAATACATGATTAAAGATGTACCGAAATCAACAATTTTTGCCATCCATGCAATTTTAAAGCTTTTAAAAACAATTCAAAACCTGAAAATGAAATGCGGCTACAAGTGATTTGGACTGAATCTTGAACATTCGTGAGCCAAAATATAAAAATATAAAAAGTGTAAGGGGAGATTAGTGAGGAGTTATTTTCTAAGTCAGATGTTCAGAGTCACTCCGTGGGTTTCAGGTAGGACACACTTCTGTCCAGGCTGCCTTGGAGTCTAAATCCTACTGACGACAGTTGGGTTTACACGTGTTCAGCAGCTGCATTACCAAAGAGAAAAGAAAATCCAGCTTAATTTCCCATTGTTTGCTACACTGCAGATGTAAAAACAGTTTCTGTAGAGAAGACTGGCAAATTGGAAAGGTTTTCCTCTGGATCTGACCGAGACTGAAAATTTTGTCCCTGTTTTTGAGTTACATTACTTGGAGTCACCTCTGGAAAAGGAAACTTGGCTCCTCCTAACTTATTTTGCAAATACGAGAAAAAGTAAGATTTAACTAAAGGAGTTGGAAATAAATATGAAGTTTTAGATGAGAACACCCCACAGAAATGCAGCGAAATCTCTAGAATCCTACAACAAAGTACAGGGTTCAACTAATGATGGGTTGTTTTTTTTTTTCCCCCTCCCTCTCCCTACCCCATCAAAACCAGTGGAAATTTCAGACTCTGTTCCATCAACCCCACTGGCAAAGGAGGTGGCCAAGAGATTCTCTACGCCGGACGCTAACCCTGTGTCAACAGAACCAGCCTGGCTTGCATTAGCCAAGAGGAAAGCGAAAGCCTGGAGTGACTGTCCACAGATCATAAAGTAAACTGTAAAACCACATCTCTATTGCTATTAATTGCTTTCTTTTTATTTATTCAGCTTTTTACACATGACAAAACTGAAAATGCATGTACTGACGGACTGAAAACAGAACCGATGACCGTTTTGCTCTAGCTCACTGTAAATTCTTCTCAAGTCATGTATTTCATTGCTTTGACAAATAGCTAAATGAGGTCAAAATTTCAGAGCCAGACTCTCTCAAAAAACGAAGACTGCTCAGAAACTGGGTGTAAATTTATTGGGTATCATAGTAAGGGTGAGAACTTCAGTTCAGAAACTCCTTAAATTCTGTGGGTATTTGATTCTGAAATTTTAGATCTCTGCACTGAAAGTGGAGATCTCAAACTTGATTTTCAACATTCCTTTGTTGAAAGTTAAGGCAAGATGCATGTTTCCTTCTCTTATTCCGAAGTTTAAGTGTTAAACTGTAGGAACTGTCAGCTCTACCTGCTATTTGAAAGCTTCTGCCCTGATGACGAACGTCGTGAGGTGTTGTTCCATCTGCAAATGATAAGCAGAGAGATGGTAACATCCAAATGCTGAGGTAATTAATACACTACGTCTGTATTCCCTCACTCCTAGGAAGAACACAATTCATCCTAATTAACAAAAAAAAAAAAAACCAACCATTACTTAAAAAAAGATCAGAAAGTTTTCAGAAAGAAGCCAGGGAGTCAGTGTCTCTCCTCGTGCCTCACTGCTGGTGCTTGGCCCTGTGTAAGACGCACAGTGACTGCAGATTAGCGTCACGTCAGCTGGCGTGAACTGAAGTAAAACGGCCCCTGTGCTCATGCAGCTGTAGAATTTGTCTCTGTAAGATCCCACAGGACTAAGACTTGCAGAACTGGAGTTAGCTGAGAACTGAAAGCTAAGTCACTGAGAGTCTGGAGAGTTTTAACTCGGCACATTCTTCCCGATTTTACTCCACGTGCAAACTTCAGGTGGTTCAGAAAACTTCCCGTACTTTGACCAATACAGCCAGAACACTTCAGAAGTTTGCTTACCCCATCTCAGGTATCTGCTGCGGGAACTGAACACTTTATTACTTCTTGTAACTAAACCAGAAGCGCTCACACCCTCCCTCTTGGAAAAAAGGATGAAGTCCTTAATGTAATGAAAGAATGACTAGTGCAAACTTCAGGTGGTTCAGAAAACTTCCCGTACTTTGACCAATACAGCCAGAACACTTCAGAAGTTTGCTTACCCCATCTCAGGTATCTGCTGCGGGAACTGAACACTTTATTACTTCTTGTAACTAAACCAGAAGCGCTCACACCCTCCCTCTTGGAAAAAAGGATGAAGTCCTTAATGTAATGAAAGAATGACTAGCCTCCACATCCCGCTGAAATAGCTAGGTCTGCATTTTAAAACGTCTCACCCTAGCAAATAAATCCGTAACACGCCAGAGTTTGCTTTACAAGGAAGTCCTTAACAAACTTGGACGTCTCCTTCTCACAACCCCACGGCTCAGAGGAACCTGTAAGCCTAGAGCATCGCACAGGGAGACCTTCTCGTGAGAAGGAATTGCATCATTGCAGAATGACACCGCACGTGTTCCATGGAAGTATTTCAGCCAAACTGCTGTAGGCAGCATGAGGAGCAGCACTTTAAATCATGCAGAAAACAGAACGAATCCCCCTGTTCCAAGGATCAAAACGGGCTTGTCAGCAAAAGTCACGTTTCCCACCAAACGGAAAACAACGGGTCAGTGTCACGGTTACAACAGCACGAACCCAACGGACCTGTTAGATGGAGCAGTTGTGCAGCCCCAGATGGGTTGTCTTGGGTCTCCGACGCCATCGGCTTTGTTCAGTTTCATATTTAAAACCAGAATCTCTAAAGTAACTTTATACTGTTAATATTAAACGTTTTATACGGAGAGGGGACACACTGCTCTCAAATGCTTGGGGAAGAAAAATACTTAATGCCTCCAAAGTCAAACCTCTGCAAGCTCATCTGAAGAATCGGGCCCACAACTCTTTCTGCTCTGCTAGCATCAGGAACGAGTGCATCTTAAGTTAAATTTACACTTCTTTTCTGAGTTTATAAGCCTGCAGGAAGAACTAAACTGCCTGAAATCTACCCTTATGGTTATTTCCTGGGAGAAGGAGCCAGGCAGAAGTATAGAGAAGGTGAAGTAAATCAGGATTAAAGAATTAAAGATACTGGTATTCTGAAAAACATAGCAAAATCAAAAACATAGCAAAATCAGGTGCTATCGTGCATGACGTAAGGATGCAATTTTCCAACACACTACATTCACAGCACATAGAATAATAGAGCTTTCGTTAAGGATGGTCTTAATCTAAAGCTTCAAAGCAGAGGGTTTTTTCCAACCATAAAAAGTATCTAGTGTAACCATGGAAACTGTATTATGTACGGTACTTGATGGAAACATTTCTACAGTGTACATGTTCAACAGTGACATTTCATGTTCGATTAACCAAGATTTGCACTAAATACCAATGAAGTGAAGTGTTACTTTGCTTTAGCTTTGTTGCAGCCATTTCTGGGAAAGTGTTGGAAATCTGTAAAAAAATCAACCCGAAACATTACTACCAAGTTTAAAACAGCAAAAATGTTTTAAGAACCGAACAAACCACTATGTAGATTATTGTCTCAATTTTTTGTAACTTATACACACAAAATACCATTTCTTCTGACAAGGTTATATACGATTAACCTCTATGTTCATATAGTAATGTATAAAAACTCTAAGATGTATAATTGTGGGGTATTTGTTGTGTACTTTTTTAATTTTTCAAATGTTTTAAAGTGCAATTGTTTATTATACTAATGTCATTTTAATTCTTATTAAACTATAACCCAGTCAAAATGATCTAGTCAATGATTTACGTATTCTGTGTCTCCTTTGGCTAATTGTATCGTTCAGGTTTGATTTACACACAGAACTTTCTACAGCGCTACAGGTGTCATTTCTGCTCATGACAACATGAGGAACCAGTCGTAATGAAGCCACGCAGCCAGTGCAACTTCCACTTTACTTTTTAATTCAGGATGTTAGAATTCAAACTAGACGGCTCCTCAGAGAGAGATAATAGTTCATACTATAGTTCTTTTAGAAGACTCAATGAGGAAGATGCTGCCAGTTAAGTGTAGTTTTGTCACTGCAAATATTTCATTTGCATTACTAAGACCACTGGTAACTCCTTTTAGGGTGCTGAAGACAGACAAAACGAATTTACACGGCCCTTTATTAATAGTTCTCTGTAAAGAACAGGGAACAAGCGTTACTCCAAGCTGTGGACTGTGGCACCTTACCACAGCTTCTCCCAATCCTGCAAGTGCCTGAAGCCAAAGTACTGACTTTTCATCTTCCTACTACGCAGGTCAAAGCATCTGAAACATGTGCTGTCATTAACTGGAGCTGGGAAATGAGGGAGGGACAGTGAAACTTCTGGCTGGGCGCTGAGCAGCCATCCTCCTTCACATAGCACAGTAAGGCAACAAACATCATCTTATCCACTCTGGACACTGCCTGGTGCAAAATGCTACCCAAGAAGTCTGCAAGGAGTAGCTCCTGCCTACAGTAAATAGAGAGGGAAACAGCACCTCTGAGTTCTTAAGTTACAAATGTAAACAATAAAGAAGCGGCCTAACATTTTAGCTCTTCTTTATTCCCCGTTATATACAAATCTAGGCAATAAACATAATCATTTCTACAGCCAACAACAAGTTTTGTTCCCCACACTACAGGGGAAGAGTAAACCTCTCCTGGAAGCTTATCTACTCCTTCTGCTGTTCCAGTCTTGGCATCCAGGATCCACACTCTGCCATCTGTAGATACCGCTGCCAAAAGAATTTTGTTCCTTAAGTCATCACTTTGGAAAACGAATGGTGTTCCATATACACTTGAGGTGGCTTCAAATTTCCATAGTAAATTACCCTCCATGTTACAACAGTAGATAAAGCAATCATGGGAGCCAAAAAATATTTCTTGCTTAGTTAAACTCGAGATGCACGGAGACGAAAACACCGGTCCGTGAGTGGAGAAGTGCCACACCTACAGAAAGAGCATAACCACCCGTTACCAGAGGTTGTCCACGCTATCAGTCTGACAGCGACTGTATTTTCTTCCTAGACTATATGTTGACGGGAGAGCATTTTATTCCAAGAGCACACTAGATTCCAGTGAAGGCCGGTAAATACGTGTCAAGTTGAAAGTTAAGCTTTAGGCACAGAGTAAGTGATAAAAGACCCATAAAATAGATGAGCAAGAGTTACTACCTTCTGTGAGGCCCACGTAAAGATGGGCAGCTCGGGAAAAGAATCTTCTTGGGCTGTTGTACCACAATTAGTAACGAACTTCGAAAATTCTGTTAACATACCGTCCTTTGCCAAAAAGGTAACTAATCCTTTAGTAACACAAGATTCCCTCTGCTCATGCCAATGATGTGCAGATACCTCCTCAAGAGGGTAGCAGTTCTGCAGCACTGCTGCAAGCAGAGGTTGAGCAGGGCATGGGCTAAAACGTATTTTACAATCAAAAAAGGCTTAGGAATTGCCACGTTTACAGCATTTCGGGCAAATGAACAGAACCAGTGTCAATGGTTTTAACACCAGATACAAACCACATTCACCTCTGAGCAACTAAAAAAACCATTCTCATTTAATTCGACGTGACGGCTGACACATCGCAGAATCACAGAACGGTTTGGGTTGGAAGGGACTTTAGAGATCACCTAGTTCCACCCCACCTGCCATGGACAGGGCCATGTTTTACCATAATTACGATTCGGCATTTTTTGATAAATGCATGAGCATTCCAAGAAACCTTTACTTTTAAACAGCCACCATCTTTCAGTAGAGATGGTGTTAAACATGCTTGAAAAATGCCAAAACCAAACCCAAACCATTTCATTTGCTGGCACTACTCTTGACCATTTACTTTGGGTGTAAAGTCTGAACAAGAAATTCTGTTACTGCATCAAGCAACTTGAGAGCTGGTGGTTTTGCTATGAACTACCCTACGCAAACGTTTTTTCCACTTTCTCCTCTCTGTGACGACAGACACATTTTGTTTACAAAAAGGGACGTGTTAATCATTAAACCTCGGAAAAAAGTATTAATAAAGCATCTTATTCAGGGGTTTGTGACCAACATAAAAAACCCAACAGCAACACTTTTACCTTTTCTCCAGAATGAGTGTAACAGTACAAGTTTCCATCCACACACCCAACACAAATGTACTTCTCATTGCAGTGAGGAGAGGAGAAGAGTGGTTTTCCCAGGAAGCTCTTCCAAATCTTATTCCCCGTCACCTGTAAATGTCAGCACGGGATATATGATGCTTAACACAACTGTGAGAAGCTGCACAACACCACCTCTCCTTCACAGTTTGACCTGGCCCTTAAGAATTAGGGGGAAAAAAAAAAAGCAAGCAGGATTCTCCCATCCGGCTACTCTTCAAGTCTTATTCCAACAAAACGTTTAGCGTTTTCCCTGGATATCCAATACCCCTGTTTCACCCTTCTCTTCCTCCCCCTAGGCAAAGTGATAATAGTGTAGTAGTTCTAATAAACAACAGAATTATTTTTATTCCATTTCCAGCTCCTCAGTATGTGATGAAGACCAAGGAAGAAGAGGATATTTTGAAAGCAAGTCATATTGATGATGTCATAAACTATAAATACTATAGGAAATGCTATAACCCACAGTCTAGGATTGTCACAGTAAGCTCCTAACTTAGCCTGCACATTCCTATTTTTACAGATAACCACATGGACTTACAGCTGGGTTTCTCAAGTACCTGTTAAAAAAAGGATCTGTTTTTCCTTAACCACAGCCCACTAGAGCTGCAGAACCACACACTGGTTTTCTAACACTAGGTTGGGTATTAGTGAGGAAACCTGTAGTGGGTGGGAGGTAAAGATAGCCAGGACTGATGCTCTGGGTTGTGTGAGTACACAGAAAATTAACAGCTGCTCCAAGTGACACTCCTTTCATTAGGCAGGAGCAGCTGTAGGCAACAATGCCTCAGAAAACCATGAAATTGCTCCACATC